TGCCTACTCTGCTGTGTTGGGTACCTTGATCTCGCTTTTGCTGTTGCCTTTGTTTGTCTGCCCATCTGCTGCCTCTTTGTCCTGTTTGCTCCGTTACTCCCATGCCCTGGTGCGTAGTGCCTGGTGCTGGTACGTTACCCTTTGATTTTTTCTTTGGGCGGGTGTGGGAAGCGTCCTCCTTTATTTTTGTTTTTGTTATATCTTGATCAGTTTCCGAGGGCTCTTTTCTCGAACAGTCGGTGCGATACCTGTTGTTTTCTTTCTATCATTTTTTATTTTTATTTTCTTAATATCACACAACAAATCCATCTCTATCTATAGAAATACGTCTAAGATAGATTAGCAATGAATCCATAGCGTGAGCGAAAGGCTACCTGTATGTCTACGGTTTCTCAGACAGCATACAACGATAACTCCCCTGTGGGTAACAGGCTCAACAAGGCATTGGTAGCCATCTTGTGTATCAATCTGTATGTGATGTTGGGAAGTTGTAGACGGAAGATTGAGGGGAACTCGGTTTGTCGGGTGTTCTATTATAGCACCCTTATGTGGTTGCGGAGCAAGCGCATTTCGGGTTGTGTATAGTTTCGTCATCAACATATTTTTTGTTTGTGATGAATGGGGGCATGGCAGCGCGGGAGAACATATTTACCTTGTGCGTGTGTGTTTTTATTATTAGCATCGACCGCGCTAACCGGCTGACCAATGAAAATCGTCGGTCTTAGTGCGGTTGAAAACACAAAACACTTCTATCTGCCATGAACTGGGACCCCGTGAGGGGGGAGCATGGGGTAGGCTAAACTATCCTTCGGATCAAAAACGGAAACAGNTTTTATTATTAGCATCGACCGCGCTAACCGGCTGACCAATGAAAAGACGTCAGTCTTAGTGCGGTTGAAAACACAAAACACTTCTATCTGCCATGAACTGGGACCCCGTGAGGGGGGAGCATGGGGTAGGCTAAACTATCCTTCGGATCAAAAACGGAAACAGCAGCAACAGAAGAAAACTGCACCCGTCTACCCAGGCTATTACCTAGTACTCGAGCTCGTTTAGGAGTACTTTCACCATTATCCTCCTTGTTTTCGCGACCATCATTCTGATCCTCATTTTGACAAGAATCTCTGGGCAGCTCTTCCCTAGCCCTACGTTTCTTGTTGTGGGGAAGGTCATCTGGCTCAAACCCTTTGCTCTCTTCCACTCCTCCATGTTTTTCTGCTCCATCGTCGTCATCCTCCTTTCTCCCCTTTCCCTTTCCTTCGTCTTCGTCACTCCCAAAAGAATTACTCTCACCACTATCGTTGTCGCAGAGATCCCAACCGATTGGCCCTGGTGGAAGTTGGTCGATCAGTAGCCCATGACGTTTGAACACATCGCGAGTTCGCATCGACAGAAAACGAGCTAGCTCGAAGGTAAACCGTCTCCGAATCCTGTTAGTATGAAAAGCTTTCAGGCGAACTAAGGCTCTCTCGTCGTCAAAATTTTCCCGGCAAAAAGCTTCGTGCGCCAAGTGGTTGGCGATAGCAACGATGAGTCGATTGGTGCCTTTGCCAAGACCACCATTCGTTGAAAAAGCAGCAGTAAGGAGGGTAGATCTAGACGGGTTGAAAGTTCCCGCATAGTGATTTGCCTTACTTGCAGCTCGATCTTCGAGGGCGGATCCTGGCTTAAGGATCGACTTGTTGATGCTTCGACCCGCGGATGGGTTGACGATTGTTACGTCTATGAGAATGGACTTGGTGCAGAGTTCCTCTTCCTTCCCTCCTGCGTGTAGTCCTGGGGGGAATACCAAATCCATCTTGTATAGTCCCTTTCCCCTACCAGTGCCTGTGGTAAAAGGGGAAGAATCCTCAACGGCGATGGGCATATGGCACTCGCGCAGTGTCTTGAGGACTGGGTCGTCAAGCGTTGCTAGGCGAAGTATCAATTCCGCCGGGTCACCACGGGCGGTTTTGGAAACGAAAGTCCTCTGGAACTCTTCTGTTCCTACTGGGATCCCGACAACTGGCATGCCACCTTCAGCAACTGACAGACCAATTTTCGTCAATTGTTGCTGTTCGTCGTTTGTCAAAGAGGACATGCAAAGACCTTCGGGGAAAAGCACTTTGGATCTCGGGAGACTGAGCTCAATCCCTTTTTGGGAGAGACGTTCCTGAATCCAATTCGTTACAGTGGATATGGCCTGCATGTTCCTAGCCAAACCTGGTGGAAGATGTGCTTGGAGGTCGTCGACGTATCCGATGAGTTTCACTCCTGGCACTGGTGGCTTGTTGTTGAACTCTTTCATGATATCAAGAAGTCCTACACAGAAGCCAAACCCTCCCAAATTGCAGCCTTGTTGAACTCCGCGCTGTGAAAGAACAACCTCGATCGAACCATCTTCCATTTTGAACAGAAGTTTCGCCTTGGTTCGAGCGTATATGTTCCCGAAGTACTTCACCAAGTGTGGCGTATGAGTGGCCACCGCTGGCAAGATGGAAGATCTGCGCATGCTGTTGTTTGCATTTTTCCCATCAAAGGAGAGAATGGTGCTGCCTTGCTGGTGGCTGAGGGCTGCTGTGGAAGCCACTATCTCAACTCCTCCTGGAACACCACCTCCGAACTGATTTGCTGCTTCGAAGATGTTCGCAATTCCTCCCTTGTACTGGCGGCAGAAGCTGCCGCTGATGATGCGACGCAAAACCCCTCCAACTGCAATCGGCCGTTTTTTCTCTCCCAGCGCGAAAGGTGTGGCACTGGTGTGGAGGTTCCAAAAGAAATCCGGAAGCTCGTCTCCGTAGTAGAAGACTTTAAAGCTGAAGTCCGCCAAGGTTTCAGTAAAAAAATCACTCATCCCACCAGCTTGGAGATACGAAAAACGAAGACCATCAGGCCCCGGAGCAC